ACAAAACTGGATTTTAATCATTGTCAGTCTGAATTTTTTGGGAGAAAAAACACAATTACCAATTTTGTGGGGAGGAGCAGAAAGTAATATAACTTAGTAGTGTAACTAATTACTGGTGGCAGGGAGTAATAAGTAATAAAAGGTAAAAGTCCAGTTTCTACACTGCTGCATTTCTCTGAGGGTTTTAACTTTGGGTAAACATTATAAGTCAGTTTTTATTGGTATTGTTTGTGTAGCCATCAACTGAAATTAACTATTAGCCGTATTGTGCTTTTATCTCTTGCAGTCTTGTACACATTTATCTTCATTGTCTCTATTATAAACCATTTATTTACTGCTTCTCAAACCTGCTACGTACGGCGGGGTATCAGTTCGGGAAACATTAGTGTAAATCAAGGTGTGATGTGGTCCACTCACCCAAATGCAGCATCCCAAAACAGAGGAGCAGGAATAATCCGAGGCAGCGCTTCATGGCGTCTCCCTGCGAACGAGAGGTGAAAGCAGACGGGAGAAGGAGTCAGGCTGTGGCGGCAGAGTGTCCGGCTGGGGTTTGGCGTCCGTGCTGGTTCCACTGTGACCCTGCGAGGAGAACGGCTCTTTGTCCAGCGGACCACAAAGACACCCTGTCTGGCCAAACGTCCTCCTCCTCCTCCCCCCTCCAACAATTACTTGGCCGCTGCCTCACTGAGGCTTATTGTGGCTGTAGTACTCTGTAATCTATTTAAAGGTCTTCTAGTTCCATTCCCGTAGCCGGGTTAACTCCGCTGTGTTGTGATGAACATGGTTCTGACCCGGGACAACCTCACACATCTTTCACACTCTGCATGTTATTCAGGTTAGAAATTAATAGTTTTACTCACATGGTTCAACGTTGTTATAAAACAGATCCTGTGAGTTTGAGATGAACAGAGAAACCATTTCTGATTTATAGTCTGATTTGTTTTAATTACATTTTATTTTGCATTTATCGCAAAGTTTCAGGTCCTTATATGGACATATCCTGTGCCCCCTCTGAAGCTCATCGGTCAATATCTTGAACACTGAATAAGTTATCAATAAGCTTTATACAACTACTGATCAGCTTCGTTCGATGTTGATCCACAGAAGGTTTGGTAGCAGTTGGACTGACGGTTCAGGAGGAGACGGCAGAAATGTGTTGGCCGACTTTAGTGGTCCAAGAGGGTTTCTGTAGAGCGCAGTGTGACGTGTGAGGGGGCATGGCCCATAGCGCCACCATCTGGCTGACTGGGCTCATGTTTCTTGGGAAGCACACATTATTTCCTGTTATTGGACCCAGTTTCATGTTTGTTGATCAGCTCACAGGAATCTGATTTAATCATCTTGTGACCTTAAAAAGTGAATTAATGATTGTTGAATGTGCTGCGCTGGGATTTTATAACTCAGCTATGAGCAGTGACACACAGACCAGGAACTCATACATTAGTTAAACAAAATGTTGTACAGGGAAAAGTTTGGATTATGGGAGTAATGTAAAATTAAAGTGTATGTATATTGTTTGAATTCATTTTCAAAATGGTTTATAATTGGAAAATGTAGATTTATGTGCAGGATGTGTGATTTTCCAAGAAGACAATCAAACTGGTGATATAGTGTTTGTTTCTTATGGTAGAGGAGTGGAAAAGCCAAATAACACATTGTCATATGAAAACAATATACTGGGAAATAAAAGCACAAGAATGGAGAAATGCATTAAAACAATGAGACTGATATTGATTGGCTGATATTGATCGGCTGATAGTCAATATGAAAACTCTTGTTCTTTTTAATGTTCAAATATTAAAGTTCTGTTTTGGTTTTTTATCCAATCAGGTATCAAGAATCTAGGATTTCTCTGGTGTCCAAAAGCTTTATTAATAAAGTTTACTTCTCACAGAGGTTCGGCCCCCATTAGTGGAGCAAAGTGAGAAAGAATTTTAAGATAAAATAGTTATAATGTTTTACAGTAAGAGCCTTTTAGCTTTTATGCTAACTTTTTAAAAGGTTTCTTTAAAGGATCACAGTCTCTCCTGCACGAGTTATAGGAACCAGGACGATGCTTCATCATCACTATATTCAATGGCAGTCCAGTACTTTGTGTTCAATAATAAGAGAAGCATTAAATTATTCATGTTATTTATCATGTATTTTAGGTTGAGAAAGACGAGTAGAAAGATGTCAGTATAAAATAACGGAAGAGTTAACAAAGCAAACATAACCAGAGACCTTAAATGTGAAACTCAACTCAGCCCACATTAAAAGCTCCAGTGGGTCACATTACTGGACACTTCACAACCCGTTTTCATTCCCAGGTCATCAAATACAGACATGAGTGGTGTTCAGTTGGTTGTAATCTGCAACCTCACCACTAGATGCCACCTGGTCCTTTAACTCGGCCCTCTCTGGTGTGGGAGGCGTTGGTTTGGCATGTGAGTGTTTTTGTTCTGAATCCTTTAAATCTGGTTCAGACAGTTTGTTTCAGTCTCAGTGACAAACAGCATCAAATAGCAGCTTATCGTCTGGCTTCATGTTTTCTTCATTTTCCAGGACCTTTGGGAACTCTGTAAAAGTGCTGATGTGGAGCTTTCACACAGCATCTCACTTATAGTTATGTACAGTTATCCGTCTGGACGATACCCCACTTTATTGTATATGTGTTTATTTTTAATATATATTTTAGATTTTTATTGTATTTTTGTTTTATTACATTTTATTGTATTTTTATCCTTTTTCTGCTCTGTGCATTACATCCCTCTGTGCTGCTCTGCTAAATCTGAATTTCCCCTACAGGAGATCAATAAAGGAACAACTCACTTATATCTGCAGACCATAAAACATTTTATTGAGAGGAACTTTTAAACCTTTATTTATATTTTCTGCTGTATTTGTGTGTATAAATTGTGGAACAATATTTTAACATTCACTAATTACTGGATTTATTTTAAAGGCACCTGTGTCATTTGTCTTATATTTTGGGTTCCTGACAGTTTTTTACTTGAACTACATCCCTACATACAAACATATAAATCAGTCACAACCTGTGGCACTAAAATGTGATCAATACATAAAAATAATCCATAAAATCTTACATATGGAACCTTTAAAGCTGAGTTTGTGCTGAAAGTCAGTTAAAATGAACCAAACTGAACCAAAAATATCAATAAAGCGATAAAAAACGGACGTAAATGATGTTGTTGAAGCATACGTTGTGTAAAACCTCACAGGTTGTACAGACTCTCTCTCAGTGTGACGACGGAGAAGAAGCAGACTTGTCTGTGCAGGGTTGGTTGGGGAGGATGTGCTGGTTGTGTATCAGTCCCAGGGTGTGACAGACGGGACGGTCAGCTGCTGCACACAGAGGAGCGACTGTATCTGCATCCAGCTGCCGGCTGAAGCTGCACCGAGGCCTTTTGTCCAAACATTGCTGTTTCATTTAAACTACTTCACTTTCCCTGCAGTTACCAGCGAAGAATGAATCCAATAAATAAATGCTATAATATAGAGACACTGACACTATAGTTTATTTATTTGTCCCCATCAGGACGCCTTTTGGAACCATAAGGATTCACTTTTCAGGATTTTAAATTAAAGTTAAATATGTCAGCTGAATGTTTTTGACCAGTGAATGAAATCACTGCTTTCATGCAGGTTTAGTTCATTAATTAGAGTCAAATACACCTCAACCCAACACAGTGAGGAGGTGATAAAGGACCTGCTTATCAAAGGACCTTTAAAACACTAACAGAGACGGTTTTAATGAGTTTTATTCTGTTTCTGTCCACTTTAATGAAGTTACGATGATCTGAAGGTAAAATGAGTGTTTGTGTCTCTGGAGTCT